CTACTAGGTGCATTAGGAAAATTTGCATCAATATCGAGTTCGTTTGCCAGAAGTGTAGCATTTGATAAATTCTTTTAGAAGTTTTCATCTGATCGACAACTTACAAGATAATTCTTTGTAACTTCCAGCTGTTTCGTACATACAAATATGTCTACATTCTTATTTTGCAGTAATTTGCTTGTAATGTTGATTTCGAAAAGAATATTGTACCACGTAATAAGTGACACTAGAAATTTAAATGTACTTATACCATCTGCAATTCCTTTTGCTTCCACGCGCATGATGTTTCCACTGTAACCTGCTGGATTTGGGTCATTATAAATATCCATAAGGGCGTCATATATTTTCGAAATTTGAAATCGCAGCGGCTTCAACGCATCGATACGGCTTTCCCAACGTGTATCACTCAGGGGTTTGATAGTTAAATTTGCTGCATGTTTTTGAAGAATGTGCCAACGTTTTGTAGAACCAGCGAAAAAAGTATAAATTTTTTGTACAATGTTAAAAAAACTTGTAGCCTCTAGGGAACAGCTCACAGCATCATTCACCACTAAATTCAAGGAATGGGCATTGCATGGAACAAAGAATGCGCGTGGGTTTTTTTCAATGATTTTTCGTTGAACTCCATTTATTTTGCCCTTCATGTTGCTTCCGTTATCGTATCCTTGCCCTCGTAAGTTATCAATTTGTAATCCCATTTGTTCGAGTTCATCCACGATTGTTTTTGATATGAAAGCACCTGTTGTTTCTTGTAGTGGCACAAACCCAAGAAAATGCTCCCGTATGACCACGTCAGGTTGTTGTGTTTCTTCATCCATTACATCAACAAATCTTATTATAATTGTCATTTGTTCCGTATGACTGATGTCAGGAGTACAATCCAATATGATTGAATAATATTTGGCTAATTTAGCACTATTCAAAATTTTTGCTCTTATAGCTCGTGATAGCAGTTGTATAAGTTCATTCTGAATATCCTTGCCGAGATAATGAACAAATAATTTAGCATCTTTAACTTTTTGCAAATGTTCATTCATGACTGGATCGAATAATGCAAGATATTCAATAAATTTTAAATAGTTGCCGTTATTATGGTCATATAATTTATCCTTTGAACCGCGAAAGGCCAAGTTTTGTCCACCCAGAGTTCTCACCAAGGCTATTAAACGATGTAAAATTTGTTTCCAATAGCTCTCCTGTTGTTTAATTTTCTTTTGGTGCATGGCGTCAATGGTTTTATTTTCACGTAGGCGAACTTCTAATTCTCGCCAAACTTGACAATTGTCAATGTGATTTACATTGCGCTCATGGGAAGAGAGGATGGTGCTCATGTTTTTCCAGTCGTTACTTCCTTCTCGGCACAGTGAGGTATATGCAGATTTTTGTTTTTTCTTGAATAACTTGCAGCAAAAACATACAACTGTGTTATTTGATGGAGAATAAACTAACCATTTCCTTGGTATTTTTTCTCCATTACACATTTGTCTATTGAAGTGAACCGTGGTAAACCTACGGTTGTTTTTATCTTTGGGAAACTGACTTGGAATATTTTGTTGAGGGCCGCGTGAGACAATCATTTGTCGCAAATGATCATTTATAGAATCAGGCCAGGTACCAGGATCGTCATAATCAATGGAAACGTATGCCGATGTATTTGATGTTCCTTCATCCTTTAAATTTTCACCGTGTACTGCTTCTGTTCCCTGCTCCGTAGTAGAAGTACTGCATTCACTTGTCTCTGTTAGAATATCCGTATTTTCTTTATCTTCTCTTTGAAGAAAAACAAGGAGAGATCTTTTTAATTTGGCACTTTCTTTCTCTTTTTCCGCTTTCCGTTTTCGGTTTTGCGACCCAGAAGGTCGCTTAGGCTTACTAGCATCAGCCATGACAGTTCTATTGAAAGAATACTTTGATTATTCTTGAAAAGCGAACATCACCTATTGCAAGTGGTATTCATAGAACACTTTTGGAGGAAGACATCGATAGGTTTTTAACAGAACGCAGAACACCGTAAACGACATTGAGAAAAATTTACAAGAATCGATTTTTTAACTGCTTTATCTTACAGCATGTTTTTTTTGTGGGCAAGAGGTTTAATGAGTTTTCATTGAAATAAGACAGTTATTAAAAAACAATTTTTGTGAAATTTTCTCAGTGTTGTTTACGATGTTCTGATGTTTTAAAAATCCGTCGATATTTTAACTAATTTTAACGTCATAATATTTTCACACTTACCAAATGTTTTAAATCACAACACAATAATAAAGGTTTTTTGGAAAAATGCGATCCGACTACACGTAGAACTACTGCTAAATTTTATAGGTTAGCTATTTAATTCTAGTGACATTTCTTGCGTTGACGGTGGTACGTATTACACTGGTATTCCGGGGTTCCCGTGAAAGCAATAGGAAGTAAGGTTATATTTATGTCTACTTCCTTTAGAGACATTAGAGACCATTAGAGAATGTAAAAAAGATCAGGCAATACACTAATTGAAAACCACGTTAAAATTAAAAATATTATACATAGTCCTTATAGTCCGGTCGAGTATGTAATACGTACAATTGTTAAAGGTTGTCTAATACAGTGGTCGCTTTTGTTAAAAATTTGGCCCAATTAAGATTAATTTAAGAAAGTGCAAAACTTTTGGCTTTTTTTCTCGTGCGCCAAAATTTTGCGCCCCCCCAATCTCGCGCGCCCTAGGCAATCGCGTAAATTTCGCTTATGTCGCGCCGGCCCTGTGTGTGTATACCGGGTCCGCCGAAAAGTCGGCATCATATGGGAAGAAGATGAAGAAGTCTTGAGGGGGCTGAAGAAGGCCAAATCAAGAGGCTGGCATAAGTGGGTGCTGTTAGGAGGCAAGAGGATGAACCGTATGTTATATTTTATGCAAGCCTCTAAAATTTCAACTGATAAGTGGCTAGATAAAGATTGTTTCCGATAATGGCCTTAGGGACGTCACCAAGCTTTTTGAAGTATGGCAGTGCAATAGTCCTCAAAGAGTGCACCTTCAAACCATCCAGATTTAGATCGATTAAAGCGTGCTCCTACGGGACCCCCTTCGGTCCAAGTGTTGTACAGGGTGGTTCAAATTCGATGTCCGAATAGGCTAACTCGGAAACTATAAGAGTTAGAAAAAAAGTAGCTTACATGTCATGATCTCGTTTTTCGAGAAACTGCTAATGCCGAAAACCTCATAGCGCTATCGTCTTTTGTTTTTCCCCTAGAGGCCAAAATTGGAAATATCGTAAAACCAGCAAGTGCAATTATCTTCGTTATTATTATAGGTGGAGTATTATAACTAAGACATTATATGGACACTTTTTTATAGAGAATTGGATGACGTAGTCAAAAAAATTTTTTCGGTTTTAGATTTTGAGATATTATCACAATTTTCGTTTTTTTAAATGGAAACAACCACTGATTATTCGCTTATTAAATTCGTTATTTTTTTCTGATTACAAAAATATAGGGTTCGACAGGTCTATTTCTTATTGTTTTAGAATAAAGCCAAAAATAAACATTTTTTATAAAATTTCCATCTAGTATCATCGGCGAAATTAAATTTACAGTTTCCTGTAAATTACGGGGCGGTAGGTAAAATCTAAAAAGTTAACAATTAAATAAGAAGATAACTTCTGGTATTTAAAAACAAATAATTATGTTTATTACACCAACTGTTAATACGGAAATATTTAATGACTTGCATTGCTTCACACTATTTTATTAGCAACTTGATAAATTATTAAGTGGCTGATTTTAGAAATTGTAGGTTTACTACATACCTACATTTCTTAATACTTTATGAATAACTTTTAAAAATTTTCACATCTATAAGATTGACATTATTTAATATATTATTTGTTTTTGTTAGATCAAATAGTATTTATAAATATTTTATTAACGCAAAAAAATAGTAATTTAACAACAAATACTAATAATTTTATTTTCCAAACATTATTAAAACAATGCTACAAAAAATGCTCAAATTGACCTCCTCTTTTTTCGATGCAAATTTCACAACGCTTTCTAACACTGTTTATTGCGTTAAATATACTTATATTTGGAATAGAATTGAGACAATGCTCAAAATTTATCTTTAATTCTCTTATATTTCCATTATCCATTAAATATAACTGGTTTTTGATGTAGCCCCAGAGAAAAAAATCCAGTGGCGTCAAATCCGGTGATCTTGGTGGCCACCGATGGTTTCCGCTGGAACCAATCCAGTTGTCTTCAAAATTAATATTTAAAAAATCAGTTATACGCCTAGCAGTATGCGCAGGAGCGCCATCATGTTGAAAATATAGTTTTTCCGCATCACGTAAAGGTAAACCATCAACATATCTTTCAATGTGGTTTGTTAATATGTTTAAATACCGTTCCGCATTTAAATTTTCTTGGTATATTTGATATGCCAAAACTTCATTATTTAGCAATGCTACCCATACGTTAAAACCAAAGCGACCTTGAGTACGCCTTTCAATGGTATTTTGGGGATTAACGTTCGACCATATATGTTGGTTATTTCTGTTAAATATCCCCGCACTGCTAATGTGTGCTTCATCGGTCCAGATAATTGCTCTACTGAAAACTGGGTTTTCATTAACCTGATCTACGTACCAACGGCAAAATTCAAGCCTTCTTTGGGTATCACCATCTCGTAAATGATGCATGATTCGAGGAACGTATGGCTTATACTTGTGTTTATGTAAAACACGAAGACAGCGATTTCTGGAAATACCAAGATCATTCTCCATTTCGCGGCTTGATATCGACGAATTTGCTGTAACTGCCGCTAAAACATTTATTTCTTCGTCTTCATTTTCTTTATAATACGATTTTGGTCTAGGCTTTTTAAAAGAACCGAATGTTTTTAAATTTTTTTCTAAACGACTAAATATTTTCGCATTTGGCTGCCTTCTTTCCGGGTATCTATTAAAATACAACTCTGCAGCCAATTCACTACTTTTATTTTGTAATATGTAACATTCTAACATGTCAAACTTTTCAAAGTTTTCGTAATTCATCTTTAAAACAGGATTTTTAAAGTGACACTTTTTGAATACAAACAAATGTTGCTATGTTTATTTGAATTCAAAAGAAAAATATATGAGCGCCATCTATCAATAATTTATTAAGTCATTTAATAATAATATTAAATATTAATAAAAAATGTGAAATAATGCAATCTATTCCAACTTTTGTGTAAAACATATATAAATTAAATAGTTCAACAAATTTATTTGTTTCAAACATCAGAAATTTGTTTTTTTAATTTTTAGTTATAGTACCATAATTTACAGGAAACTGTAAATTTAATTTCGTCGATGACACTAGATGGAAATTTAAAAAAAAAGTTTATTTTTGGCTTTATTCTAAAACAATAAGAAATAGACCTGTCGAACCCTATATTTTTGTAATCAGAAAAAAATAACGAATTTAATAAGCGAATAATCAGTGGTTGTTTCCATTTAAAAAAACGAAAATTGTGATGATATCTCAAAATCTAAAACCGAAAAAATTTTTTTGACTACGTCATCCAATTCTCTGTAAAAAAGTGTCCATATAATGTCTTAGTTATAATACTCCACCTATAATAATAACGAAGATAATTGCACTTGCTGGTTTTACGATATTTCCAATTTTGGCCTCTAGGGGAAAAACAAAAGACGATAGCGCTATGAGGTTTTTGGCATTAACAGTTTCTCGAAAAACGAGATCATGACATGTAAGCTACTTTTTGTCTAACTCTTATAGTTTCCGAGTTAGCCTATTCGGACATCGAATTTGAACCATCCTGTACATATGTACTATCAGCCTTATATACAATATACGGTGGTAAGGCTATACTGCTGGCTGTTCCAGCAAACATTACAGAAAAATTGGATTTGGAAAAGTCCATGATTCGCTCTGGGCATTTGCATTTTCTTTTTACAATGATTTTACTCTTGCCTGGATCGTCTTGGATGCTTGTTTCGTCATAATTAATGATTACCTCTGGGGAAACATCCTTTAAAGATATTGCTAGTTCACTAAAGTAGGACTCTATTACTTCTGGAGTGACTCCAGCTCTTGCTCTTTTGATATTTTTACATAGGCGGCCCTTTAATTCTTCACTCTGCCTCTTTAGAAAACATTTTATCCATTTGATCCCAGGCATATTATTTTCAAACCGGGGCTCATTTAGTCCATTTTTATCTAAAATTTTTTAACAATGCATCTTATGTCAAAACTTGTCAGTGGAAATCCCCACTCGGCAGCTAGAGCGATACACTCAGTGATTTTCCTTTCTTCATCATTGTTGAGCACTGGAGGACGTCCATATTGGTTCTGCTGTTTATTTTTGACTCTTCTTTGTATGGACGACTTAGGGACGCCAAATTTCTTTTCAGCTTTACGGTATGACAATCCGTTCTTAACCGCATTGGCAGCCTTGGTAATGTTTTCTTCATTAAAAACATGATATTGCGTCTTATTCATTTAGTTATCAGGACCAACTTAAAAAAAAATCGAAATTGTAATCTAAAAAGTAAGGGAAAAACTCGTGTCCTAATAACGGTGTCCCATACGGACGGCATAGGTGTGCACCTTTTTCAAAAAATGTATACATATATAAGCTTAGATTATCAATACAGCCTAATGGCTGTATTGAGTAGCCTAATGGCTTGTTTTATAACCTAATAGGCATACCACAAAACCAAGCTACAAATCCCTAACAATAATGGTACACTCAGGGCAATTAAATTTATTTTGACTAACGAAATAATCAGTTTTTCACATAAAAAACTAACCTTCAAATTCTTCTTTAATATGCGAATTCAAGCAGCAAGCAGCAGACTAATCTTCTGGGCAACAAAGTAAACAAAAGACAAATAATGCCATTCCCAGCTGTCAAACTTCACTCATCAGGTTCGCTAACCCAAAAAAGTAAAATGTCTCTTTTATGCCACTGAGAGGGGCCGAGGTCCCTTCCAGACAATGGACACATCGGAGACAATCACCTCTAGTCCATCGGTCATTACCAGATCCGGTTTGCGCAGCAGGCCTGATTCTAGGCGCAGATTTAGTTCGAGCTCTACATGCTACCCCCTACGGCTCGCTTTGCTTTACCTGTTGCTTTGGACCATATCGCACAGTGCGTTGCTGCACACCATTGGAGGACGTGTGATAGGGATTCCACCTTGTCACAGCCTGCGCGACATTGTCTGGCGTCCGGTGAATTTGATGGTATACCGCACGTGGGCAACAAGTTGCCCCGTAACTGAACTGCCTGTACATGCTCCTTCGCCGACCAGTGCATAGGGGGAGTATACACCCAGCGTCCACACTCGCAGCTGTGTTCGAGCCTTGGAGCAGCGCATTGTCGGAGTAGGACGATTCCAACTTCTGGCGCCAATGGCTGTCCAATGGCTGGTCTTTGTCGGTGATACCTGACAGCAGATGCAGCATTTTGTGTCTAAAAGACATTACCGGGCCTTGTTTAAGTATAATAGAGACTGTCGCATTGGTGGTCGACGCGAGCTTGTCCAGCTCTGTCAACGACCTTTATTGTTTTATACTCCATACGAGGGTTTTGCAATGAGTGCGGGATCCTCGGAAGGTAGTAGAACCTCAAAATATTGAGTTTTTGGTGCGCTGATTCCACTCTACTCAGGCTTTCAATAATCTTGTTGATCTTAATAACATTACTGCTGTCATAGGAATAGTGGACGTCGAGGTACTTAAAGCAGTCACTAGGAGAGATTTGTTTACCCCTACGCCCGTAACGTAATATAGAGATCTGGCTGCCGGGTATAGTTTCTTTTTGTGTGGGATCACGTTCATCGAGAGGGACGTGCATTTGTTCGAGTTTATTTGCAGCCCTCGTTTATCGAAGAACGACATGCACATGCACTCTCGGACCACGCACGCACGTTTGGTTTATGGTATCAAACGCTTTTCGCAAGTCCAGGGTCATAACATGGTAGGGTGCGGATTTTTGTCGAAAGGAGCGGATTATCGTGTTTAGGATGAAATTGTTGGCTAACAGACATCAACTGACTGGAACCCTTTCTGGTTGGGGTTTATCTCTATTTTCTTACAGAACTTTGCGACATACCCCAGGTCTCCGCACTTCATGCATTTGGCCACAACTATGAAGTCTTTTGCTGTCAAGGAGTCATAGTCCACGTACCTTTTGTATTGGGACAATATTAATTGTCTAATTTTGCCAGATATTTCCGCTACGAGGTGGACTGTGTCCTTTCCTGTTGGGCCGGTTTTGAATTTAAAGTTGAAATCACTTTTCAATTCTTCCTTGATGATTTTATCATAGAGGTTCTGTTCGTAAATCGTTTGCTTTACCATGTCTCTGTTGATTGCCGATTTGATATTGTAAAAGGTAACCAATGGTTTTCTTTTGCACGGTTCCTCCGCCTTAAGTAGGGTAAACGGTATAGTGATTGGCACTTTAAGAAAGACACCAATATTTATTTAGTGATAACTAACGTATTTGGCTGTTTAATCTGCGTTTGATATACTCAGGCAATTAAAAATAGTATATATTCAATTAACAAGACGTCTCCCATAATAATTTCTACCTCAATTAGCTCAAAATTCGTTGAGAAGTATAAATTACCTAAATTTCAGTGATTGGCACTTGAATGACAATAATTGACACCCGTAGCGTATAGTGATTGGCACACTTTTTTTGTGTAAAAAAAAATAAATTTTTGTTTGTATCTACCTACCTAGAGGAGTAGTAAGGCAGACATTGGGAAGGTAAGTTAATGAAATATCTATAAATTAGTTTAAACGATTAAAAAATTTATGTTTACTTTTTTAGTTTACAAGTTCTGCATGTGAAAACATCGTCAACCAAAATGTCAAAAAGGCCCTGCTTTTGTATACAATTTTGATGGTAAGCACGACAACACTTTGAACATTTAAATCCATTACTAGAAGTATTTATATTTCTCACACAAATATAGCATAGTCCTTGATTAACCATGGTTCCTCGAATTTCGTAATTGTTATCATTTTCCTTTTTCTCCTCATCATCATCGTCTTCTGAGAAAAGAACTTTCTTTGCATTTTCTACCGCTTCACGTAACTTTATATTAGATATGATTTTTATTTGCTTTTCATTTGGGTTATTGCTGTTTACATCTTTTAATTTTTCTTTATTGTTCTTTGTTACTTTCTTGCATTTCTTTTTGTTTTCATTTTCTTTTTTTTTCTCCAAGCGTTTACGTTTTCTTTCTTCTTTTTGTTTTTCGGCAAGGCTTTTTTTCTCCCTCTTTTCACTTTGTATTTTTTTCCACTGTTCGGACGTGAGGACAAAAGGTATTCGCTCCGAATTTCTATTGCCTTTCCTGGCAGGACTTTCCGGCCATACTAAATACTCTTTGAGTGATACATTGCTAGGGTCGTTTGTTGATAATTCTTCTTCGTGGTCTTTTTCTAGGGGAGGATTGATGACCGATTCATTAGATTCATTGACTTCTGTAATTTCTGAAGAACCTAAATACAAAAATAAACTAACAAGAAGAAGTAATAAAATAAATCTTACCCGTTGTAGCAGAAGTTGTTGCCAATTCTTCTTCTATTGACATTTTAGAAGTGCTTGCAAATATAATCGGTATGTCTACAATGTTGAACAATTCTTCGTTGTCTTTGTTGGTGATATTGCTACAGTCAAAATCCATATTTACAGGCGCTGGTTTATCAAAATTTAGAAATTGAACTACTACTGAGTTGTTTTCAATCCCGTTTTCAATCTCGTTTTCAATCTCGTTTTCAATCCCGTTGTCAATTTCGTTTTCAATTTCGTTTTCAATCTCGTTTTCAACCGATGTTGAATCGTATTCTTTCCACAATCTATGCAAAACCCAAAATTCTTGAGATTCTTGTGTAATGGTCGTTGGATTTGGCAGTTTTAGCTTGTTCATTAAATTAACGCCAACTATTTCTTCAAATCTTGACCGAGGTATCATAACCTTGTCTTCTTTTTTGGGGTCTTGGTCAGTATTATTTTTACCTAGACATTTTGAGTAGTCAATGGCATTTGGATCCCATGGACACAAACCAGTACAAACAAAACCGTGTTGTATAATATCAGGTTTCATGTAAGTTTCAATTACTTTTTGTAAAATAGGAGCAAATTTTTCTTGGGTTAATGCCTCTGAAATATGGTTTCTTCTCCATTCTAATACGCCTTTTTTCCAATACGTTTTGAGTGGTTTAAATGCGGATACATCGGCAGGTTGTAAAATTCGTGTAGAGTTTGCATACAAGCAAATTAGAATAATTTTCAGTTGGGAGCAGAGGTCACTCAGCTGATACGAATTGTGTGTGCTGTGGCCATCCACAAATAAAACAACAGGAAATTGTGTGCCCTTTTTGACTAGGAATGGATGAAAAACATTTGCTATATACTCAAAAAACAGTTCTGCTTTCATCCACCCATTGGAACTCGTGCCAATTCCCCACGTATCTGGCACTGAACTGGCAATTGCAGAAGGTACACGTTTGTAAGCATAAATGACAAACGGAGGAGTTATGTCTCCTTTAGCAGACAAAGTAAATAGAACAGTTAAATTAGATTTTGCTGGGGCATTGTCAACCTCGTAAACATTCCTAGCACCTTTGGGTGCTAAGACAGTTTTGTTCTTGGGACATAACATGAAGCATGTCTCGTCTGCGTTAAAAACTCTGTCGGGATATTTAAGAATATCAAAGTAATTCTCTTGTTTTAAGTATGTTTCAATATTCAGAAACCATTTTCGAATGTCTGCTTCACTAACCCTCGCACTGGCAGCAGTAACGGCTTCAGGCACTCTTTCAGACAGTGTAGGATGTCGCTTCAAAAATGCTTTATACCACCCATCACCCGGCATATTGTCTTTAAATGGATTGTCTCTTGGTTTCTCGTCTAGAAAACACTTGACACTGATTTGCAGATCCTCTTTTCTTCGCGGAAACCCTTTTTTAGCACTATGGAAAACCCAATCAACCAAAATTTGTTCCTCGTCATTTGAAAGAATTGGACGTGGTCCAAATGTCGATTTACTGAATTTTTGGCTCAAGCGAAATTGCAATGTGGAACGTGGAATTTCATATTTCCGCAAGGCAGCTTTCTTGCTTAGGCCATTATTTAATATATCTTCCAGGGCTCTTGATATCGTCCCTTCGTCATAGGTTTTCCTATATCTTGAGCCTTCAATGACGTTCGGCATGACGGCGACGATCACCTAGACAAATTATAGTCATTGGCACCCAACCAGACAGTTAATATCACTGGTGCCAACAACTGTCTACCTACACTTCTGATATGACAATTCAACAATATCCTAATAGAATATAAAATTGTAGGAATTTTAAGATGAGTTTTGACATAAAGTACTTTCCCGCCCAAAGCATAGTCATTGGCACATGGTGCCAATGATTAAAAAGTTGACATTTTTTCATACAGTTATTGGCACTACTGAAATTACGGTTAAAATGGGTGAATAAAGCCCAAAATAACCTCAAATTATCATTTATAAAGTTCAATTAAAAGAAAACTCACCTGTAATTGTGTTTTATTTCAGATAACAGGCGAATACAGCGCAACGAACAACGTGGTGGTGCTTACACAATTTGTGAAAACTTCGTCACTCATAAGGAACAACAGGAACCGCGTCCGACACATTCACTCACTGCGAACACCATATTGGATTGACGACATCGCAACTAATAACACACATTATACATAGATGGCGCTAAAGTTTGAGATTTATTTTATATTAAAAGCTTTAGTAGTTTTCTTATTAAATCCACTTTTATCGTCACAGTGCCAATCACTATACCAGTGCCAACGACTATACCGTTTACCCTACTTTATTTTGTTGTTTATGGCTCCAAATTTAGGTGATTTAACTAATTTATACACTAACAACATTCTGTAAAGTTGTAAAAATGTTACTAAGGTAGGGGGTCATTACATCCTCCAGCTTGGCGTATGCTTTCAAAAAATCGCTATAATCGTTTTATTGGACCTCTATTGGATCTTGATTAATTTTTGCAGTCAATACATACAGTGGGTCACTTAAGTATTTGTACACCTAATATTTTCAATAGAAATTGCAAAGGAGGTAAACAAAGTCAAATTTTAAACTATATTTTATTTACACAAATGAAAACAATAACAGAACTCTTAATAACATTTAAAAAAAAATAAACAGTTTATGAATTTTTAAAGATAATGAAATTTTTGACATCACAAAAGTATTTGTACACATTACCAAATCAAATCAGATGCCTCTTAAACCAACTATCTAATACTTGGTATGCATTCCGTTAGCATTTATAACGGCTTGTAATCGTTTTGGCATGGACATTACCAATTTGGCTGTTATTTCTTGGGAAATTTTCTTCCATTCTGACTTCAGGTGTGTTTTTAAATCATTTCGATTGTGTATTTGATGTTTTCTAATATTAATGTTTAAAATATGCCACAAATTTTCAATTGGGTTAAGGTCTGGACTTTGGGGTGGGTGTGGAAGCGTTTTAAGCCCTGTATATAAAAACCATTCCTTAAGAATCCTTGCTGTATGCTTAGGGTCGTTGTCTTGCTGGAACATAAAGCTGTCCTCTAGACCCATTTTACGTGCACTACTCAATAAATTATCTTGCAAAATCTTAAGGTAGGTTTTAGCATCCATAATGTTATCAATAAATTGTAAATTTCCCACTCCATTGTACGACATGCAACCCCAAACGAGAACGTGCCCTCCCCCATGCTTTACCGTTGGAATTAAATTTTTCGTTTGAAGATCTGTATTTGCTTTTCGCCAAATCATTTGTCGGCCGTCAGATGAAAATAAGTTATATTTTGACTCGTCGCTAAAAATAATATTCTTCCAAAACTCTAGAGGTTTATTCACATATTCATTTGCAAACTGTAGTCGCTTAAGTCGATTTCACTCACTTATAAACGACTTTTTACGTGCTACTCTTCCATGGTAGCCGGCTTTACGGAGAACTCTTCTTACGGTTTCAGGATGAACAGTTGTTCCTTTCCTCTCTGCGATATGTACAGCCAAATTTTGAGCGCTAGTTTTGGGATTATCTTGGACTTCTTTCAGAATAGCCCGTTGTTCACGATCGCTTAGTATTCTCGGTCGTCCAGAGCGATGCATGTTTTCTACACTTTTGCTGGTGATAAACTAATTATATACCGAACAGTAGAGTGTGGCCGTTTAATAATTTTAGCAATTTCTCGCAAACTTTAAACAAACTTTTTCTTCTCTTTAAACAAGCCTATAATTTGTGCTTTCTCCGAAATAGACAATTCTTTAGTTTTCGGCATTTTGACTCAAACACTGATACGATACGAGGTTATTTATTAGCACGCGTCTGTAAGGATGTTATCTTAACAACAACTGATGTACAACTAACGCTTCGGTCTCTGTGCGTGTCTAGACTTGTCCGAAATACTAGTGTACAAATGCTTTCGTGACATCGTATTTCAGATTTTACTCAATATTTCATTCGGAAAATACTTATTAATTATTTCAAATGTATACTATTTCTCAGAACATGTATCCGATTAGAGAAAATGTAAAAAAAANCAACTCCTGAGGCAATCGGAACAGTCCCATTTCTGGCTACTCTGGAAGCTTCATCTTTATATTCGTGGCAGATTGTGCACGAAACATGTGTACGGTTTCTATTTTTATCCGCATGAAATATTTTTTTTAAATAAGGGTAGGTCTTTAGCAGCCATCCCAAATCCAACTTCCTTCCACGAATTGGTCAAATTTTCAATCGCGCTGTTCCCACTGACCTTGGCAATTGGCAACGAGTGACGAGCAGGAACGGCGACGGAATTTTTTATAAATCGACCTTTAAAATAGACCCTGACAATTTTATTACGTACCACAACTTTCTTCATTAGGGACACAGGTGGAAGGCCTAATTTCTGGTTCAAAAGGAACACTAACTGCACTTTGTACATCTTCAACTTTCTTCGAAAAGAACTTTCGTATATCCATGTTGTTATTTCGTACAAATAAACCTCAAAAATTGTAGTTCACGTGGATAGGTGGCAATAACGAACTGTAGTGGGCGTGGCTTCAACACGAGGTTATTGTCATGTTGGCGGTCGTAGCTCTTTTGGACAGTGGTCTATATAAGATGTTTGGGGATTCCCGCAGTTTTATAAAAAAAATATCTCAAATTTCTTAATTTCTAATTTTAGCTTCTAAAGTCCAAAAAAGGGCTCGGCACCGAAAAATTTTTCGCCCGCGGCGCATTTTTTAAGGAAAGTAGATCAGTGCCCCTCCAGTGGAAATTCCTTAAAAAATGCCTTGACTCTAGGTATGGTATCATCACCTAGGCTATAATCGTATCTGATCGTGCCTGCCTTCTTTGTAATAGAAATAACATTACATTTTTCAGGGTTCAGTGTCAAGAAATTTGAGCTGCATTTATTGCAGCTCAAATTTCGTAGCGCATCAATGTCGCGGTGTAGTCTCGAACAATCCAAAGGTGAAGAAAATCGTGTAAAAATTTTTAAATCGTCAGCATACATCAAGCAATGAGAGTGTTTAATTATTGAAAAAATATCATTGATATAAATATTAAATAGAAGAGGTCCTAAGTAACTCCCTTGCGGTACACCGAAGGTACCAAATATGCTGTCCGAAAAATAACCATTGATATTCACCTTTAGAGTCCTTCCACGTGTATAGGAGGTAAACCAACGCACAAGATGTTCGTCAATATCAAACATACGAAGTTTTGAAAGAAGCAGAGCATGATCGACTCGAGTCAACCTGAAAGGAATCATCCATAGAGTTTCAAATATAATGGGTGTATTCCAACAACTTGCTCTCGACCGAGCGACCTGCAAAAAAGCAGTGCTGTCTATAGTCGATTTTACTTTTCACAATAAAAATAAGTCTTCTATAAATAAGGTTTTCAAGGATTTTACTAAATAATGGCAATAACGAAATAGGTCTATAATTAGATACCTCACTACGATTTCCGGATTTAAAGATAGGGATTACATGAGCCTCCTTCCAACCACTATGTTGAACTTTAATGATTGTTGTAAGAAGAATATGTGGTTATTAGATTTGTTCCTTTTTTCCATTAAATTGTAAAGTTGTCGGAGTTTTACAGGTAACCCTGATTGTAGTATAAATAGGATGAAATTCTCCATATTTCTCTAGTAATAAATAANGTACAAATACTTTTGTGACATCGTATTTCAGATTTTACTCAATATTCCATTCGGAAAATACTTATTAATTATTTCAAATGTATACTATTTCTCAGAACATGTATCCGATTAGAGAAAATGTAAAAAAAATAATGCTTCATATGCTGTTTAGCTTTTTTTTTAGTAAATTGGTCCTGTGCAAATACTTAAGTGACCCACTGTACTTAAAATTACATTTTTCTAACAAGTATCTTGTTAGGTCTAGTGTACTCTCATTGAGGCAGTAAGTGTATATTTTTACACCTGAAGAGGCTAAATTTTTCATTATAGGAACTCTATACCCAGAAGTACAATTTGGCACAAAACATTTGTTAACCATTTTTATTTATAAAATATTTAATCATGCGGTAGAACAATCGAAAAAAGAAATAACCTGTCGTAGCGCGTCCGCTTACCGACTCAGGCCTTTTATCCCCGCTGTTATATGCCGCTTACGCGTTACCGCTCGAGCCATATAGAACACACACGCCACGCCATTCGATACAGGTGGCTCTTTTATACACCCTGGTCAACACATATAAAATTATTTTATATGCATCGTATAATATTTCTAGAAACATTTGTCTAATACAAACCATTTTCTTCTCGTTTGCATCATACTCTTTCTCTAACAAGAATTTGTAGTCGTCAATGGATTGTACATTAAATTCAACAAAATTGAATTTACATAAAATACATTATTTTAGCGCAGGCAAAATTTTGTTTAAAATATACACACTAACATAAGCAATAATTGCTTTTCAGGTTGGGTGGTATTCTAAATATTTATTGTGAATTGAAAATGTTTCGTCAGTCAGAGTTTCGTTAGCCTGAGATTGTGGTGACTAAAAATAATTAACGTAGCTTGTATTATAATTACAAAGTATTTCACGGCCATAGTAGTTAAGAGCCTACAGCTTTATGCACACGTGACAATTTTCATTTCATTATACATATAATAATAATAATATATTCTAGAACTGTAAATGATTGAACGATATCAGTCGACTCCAGAGAAATCTAATAAAATTTTGTGAAATTTCAAGTTTTATGTCAGATTATAGTATTAAGCATTATTTGCGCTTACACTTTGCTTTGGCAATTTCAACAGCTTGACGAAAATATTTAGATTGTCTTCCTGATAATCGGCTTCCTTTCCCCTTCATGGTGCTATTAATTTGTTCGATGTAATTATAGATAACAATTTGAAACAAAACGCTTTAATATTTTTTTAAGAACACGGTTTGTATGTTCATACATTTCCAAATTAAATTACACCATTTGAGCAATAGTATTAACAATTTCTTTTAATTTCTCTCATGCAGATGGTAGGTCAACACGTATAAAATTATTTTATATGCATCGTATATTTCTAGAAACATTTTTCTAATACAAACCATTTTCTTCTCGTTTGCATCATACTCTTTCTCTAACAAGAATTTATAGTCGTCAATGGATTGTACATTAAATTCAACAAAATTGAATTTACATACAATACATTCTTTTAATGCAGGCAAAATTTTCTTTAACTCTTTCCGGCATAGTGGTGCACTATGTGCATCACCTATTATGACATGGTTGCGGCACACGAAATCGGGTGGGTCTTATGATCCTAGTTGCACAGGAAAATTAAACGTCTTCAATTTTTCATTGACTCAACTTTTTACATACTAAGTACCATATTGAACATAATTGATAATGAATTTCAAATTTTTTCATCACCAATTTCCTGTAAATGGGTGATGCATTTTTTGAATCACTATGCAACTACCAGTTTTGTTACTTAGAAATGTAAAAGTGATCATATCNTCTTCTATAAATAAGGTTTTCAAGGATTTTACTAAATAATGGCAATAACGAAATAGGTCTATAATTAGATACCTCACTACGATTTCCTTATTTAAAGATAGGGATTACATGAGCCTCCTTCCAACCACTATGTTGAACTTTAATGATTGTTGTAAGAAGAATATGTGGTTATTAGATTTGTTCCTTTTTTCCATTAAATTGTAAAGTTGTCGGAGTTTTACAGGTAACCCTGATTGTAGTATAAATAGGATGAAATTCTCCATATTTATTAAAATTCCGCTATTTTCAAACATATTACAGAAACAAATCATAAAATAAGTCTTAATAATATGGAACTTATTCATCACCAACCCAAAGCTTTGAAGGTGGACTTACTGGAAAAATATGAAATCTATAAACAATCTAAAAATAACACCGATAATCTATTAAACGAAATATTAGATAACAAATATACTTGCTTGTACCACAAATTTAACTGATTACTTCAAAAAATTTTTTGTTATGATGGGGGTGATGTTAACTCTTTCCGGCATAGTGGTGCACTATGTGCATCACCTATTATGACATGGTTGCGGCACACGAAATCGGGTGGGTCTTATGACCCTAGTTGCACAAGAAAATTAAACGTCTTCAATTTTTCATTGACTCAACTTTTTACATACTAAGTACCATATTGAACATAATTGATAATGAATTTCAAAATTTTTCATCACCAATTTCCTGTAAATGGGTGATGCATTTTTTGAATCACTATGCAACTACCAGTTTTGTTACTTAGAAATGTAAAAGTGATCATATCAATCAAAATATTAGGTTTGTGTTTGTAATGGAATTGTGAAATGTAATAATTCGAATTATTCATGAGATTTATGAATTATAATTTCCAAATAAACATAATAATGGAATCAAAAATAAAATATGATACAAGATAGTTATTATATAGCCTAGAAACAAAACAATCAATTCAGAACCAAAGATTACAATTCTAAGCAATTCAAATACAGTTGCACTGATAACAGTCCTGTTTGAAGTATATTATATTGATGAGAAATCAATGATAGCTGAACAATAAGATAAAAAATAACATATTGAAATAATACAGAAGCAAAACAATTAATTTAAAACAAAAGGATAATGTTAAAAATGAGTATATATGATTTATACGGTAACCAAGTAATTAAGTAGTTTTAGTAATTATTAATAAGTAAGTAATCAAGTTATAACAATATAGATATAGTCAACAATCGTTTAAAAAAAAAAGCACTTATCTCGCCTCCCATCCCAGCTGTGGTGGGAAAGATACCTGAGTAATATATCCTTTTGTTTTCAATTTATTTTTATTTTACTGTGAAACTTATTTTCTGTGATACCTTTGAAAACAATCTCGAGTTTTACTCAAGCAAAGTGGTACATTACAAACACTACACATCCAGAATGTCTGCTTTGTTTTTTTCTTGGTGCTGCACAACGCACATCTCCTTCGTGTTGTTCTCAGTGGTTGATGATTGGATCCAGATTGTCTGATTGGTAATGGCACATTCGGCTTGAATCTCTTCACATTTTTGTCTGCTGACACAGGCCTTGATGTGGAAGCTCCTTCAACATGTGATTGACTTGTTAGCCCAAAAACAATATTTCGTCTGAAATTTTTCATTGTGTGCCGTTCTATGGGCAAACATTTGTGTAGAATGAAGGAATTGACAACAACCGCATCAATAAAGTAGAAAAAAATCCTGTGCCACCACTTGCGGCTCTTCCTGTCGATTTCATAGGTTGTCTTCATCTGATCAAACTTGTCAACAAAATTCATGTTTTTATTATAATCTGCAATGGCTGCTGGACATGAGAATCCTACTCTCTCTCCAGTTCTTGATCTTCTCATCACTTGTTCAACTTCCATAGGATTGTGGAAGTTTGATAACAAATGAACAGCATTATTGTCCTTCCACTTCATGGCAATAATCGTTCCACTAGCATACCATTCATGTTCACCACGTGTCATTTTCTTATCATCCTTGAAATGCGGTAAATTTATTCTCTTCTTATTAACTGTCCCACATGCATTGATGTTAGCAGTTTTCAAATCTTCCATCAAGTTATAAGATGTGAAATAGTTATCGAAGTAGACTGTGTAGTTGTAACCTTGATACTCTTCCACAAGCCTTTTCACTACATTCTCTCCTAAATTCTTTTGCACAGTCTGTCCGATTTTTCCTGTGTAAATTTCAAATTTTAAAGCATACCTGGACTTGTCACACAGCACCCAAACTTTGTAGCCCCTTTTAATTGGTTTTTTGGGCATGTACTGTTTTAAACAGGACCGCCCTTTGAATTTTATCATTGATTCGTCCACAGCCATGTCAGGATTTGGTTTGAATGAGGAACAGAAGTTTTTTGAAATGGAATTGAGAAAAGGTCTAAGTTTATACAGTTTATCAAACGTTGGATCACTTCTCCTGGGTTGTAGACTGTTATCATTCAAATGAAGGTTTCCAAGAAGCCAGCTAAAACGGTTCAATGGCATCAATTTCGAGATGAATGCATCATTGAGGTCAATTTCTGAAGACCAATAATTTCTATAGCTGGGCAATCTTTTGATTCCCATCATGATATTAATCCCAAGAAATGTTTCCATCTCTTTTCTGTCAGTTGGGATGTACCTTTTGCCTGATTGCTGCGCATAGAGATTGGTTTGGAAGACTAAACTGTCAATAATTTCATCATCAATGAGCGTTTTGAATAGGTCATAAGGGGAGGGACTGACTAAGTTCGTGATTCTTTCAGTAGGACCTGTCTGGTGATTAAAAACACTATCACTTATTGATGGAGTAAAGTTTGTGCTCCACTGAGGGGGAATTCTACTTCTTACAGCAGGCGTTGATGGTTGTATAGTAGCAGGTGAAGGTGGTAGTAAAACGTCTGTACCAGATGAAGTTGATGCTGCAATGTTGTCTGCCAGAGGTTGAACAGTGGCAGGTGAAGTTGATTTTACAGTCGGAGAAGATGGCTGTCCATCGTCATCAATGATGGCATCAGGTAGAGTCATGTCAAATATGGGAACATTGTCTGTATTGGAAGTTTCCAGCTGAAAATCATCTTCATTATTGTCATCATCAGTATCAATATTGGAGTCCACATCTGAAGGAATCTCGTCATACAACAGCATATTCAGCAGCTCTTCATCAGTAAGTCTCTTGTTCATTTTTACCTATCACAGGAAAATAACAAGTTTTGTAAATATCTGAAGTAGGTACTAGATACATGAGCTATGGAGCAAAATGAGCATAGATTAGATTTTCAACTAACATGTAATTAAAATGGGATAAGAAAAATTTTATTGGTGGTATAGCATTCCTCATAACATGATTTTTCCCTATACCAGACAATTCCAATGTATCAATTACCTATGTAAAAATATCAAGATTAGATTCATTTTTTTGAAAAGGCATTCTTATTCTCCATATAGGTTACTGAGCATACTATATTATTCTGTAATTAATAGGGCCGTTAAGGTCAATCGATTAGAAAGACCGTCTTTCAAAAAATCGATAATGTAAATTAAATTAGACGGATTAGTAACGTTTTCACGTTCGAAAATTGTTTAATTTTTGCAATAATTAATCTAAAACTTTAAAATTCCCCACCCCTGATTCATTGTGACGTTTTAAGTAAGAAAAAAGAAATCACAGACGTGATTTCTCTCCCGTTTTCTTCTGTTTTCTTCTAGCGCATAAGATTCGTAGCATTGTCTCTCTCTAGGAATTTTATTGATTTTTATACGCTCCAATCATACGCTCAAATCTGAGTGACGCGCTACTGAATTCGCGGCCTGTAATTTCAAACTTTATTATTTTTTTTTGGAAAAACTAAGCCTCAGAATCAAAAATTAAAAAATATGGGGTCAATCAATTTTAAAAAACTTTCGAATGAGCCAATAAAAAAAAATANCGTCGAAAACGATTTTTCAAAACATTTAAGGACCAAGGTGACTTAAGTATTAAGTTACGATTAAAACCAGAAGTTGTACCACATAAGAATTTATCACCGGACGTTATACAGTCCCCGAAACGAACTAAAGTGGAATTAGAAGAAAGTGATGGTATGGAAATACCTTCTCCTTCTAAAAGTTCAAACCCATTTACAGCCTCTGATGAGTTGATGGATCTACAAACAAGTACACCTTCTGAAGAGGATGTGAAGAGGAGAGAAGCTCAAGTGATTAGGTTTAATTCAACGATGGGAGCCATACAATCAAATTCAAAGTTTTATTTGGGATTGCCTAAGGAAATATTTGAAGTAGTCCACTTATTATCGGAAAGGGCAGCAGGGAATATAAGAGAAATTTTTATAGTTTTAAAAAAGATTAAATTGAACGATCCGTTCACAAGGATATCAATCGATTTTGGAGTGAGTGCAGTCCGAATTCACCAAATATTTACTGAGCATGTGCCAAAAATAGCTACAGTGTTACAAAATTTAATTTTTTGGCCTACTCCAAGAATGATAAAGAGAACAACGCCGATTCCATTTAGACGGAGATATAGTAAGGTACAATCTATTATTGATTGTTTTGAAATAGAAATTGAGAAACCATCGAATCCACTGCATCAAAGCTTAACATGGTCTGAATACAAAAAATGTAACACAGTGAAGTATCTTTTATCTTGTTGTCCAAATGGATTCATCAATTTTGTCTCTAAGGGCTATGCAGGACGTGCGTCTGATAAAGAAATTGTACAAAAATCGCAATTTCTTAACAAACTACCTGAACAGGCGTGGGTTATGGCTGATCGTGGCTTTAAACATATTGTCCCTTTATTGCTGAAGAAGAAGTGTACCTTAGTAAGGCCACCATCAGTGTCAGCAGATGTTCCAAGCACCTCATCAGATGTTATGGAGAGTAAAAGAATTGCAAGTTTAAGAATTCATGTAGAGAGAGTTATTCAACGAATAAGAGAATTTAATTTGTTAATTTGTTACGTTACAGTTTTGATGCTGTGACGCGACCAAAACGAATTTCATGCCAATCTGTACATTCAGATTGTAACCTAGATGATATTTCTGCGTGTTTTATATTCTCCACGGTCATACGCTCTTTCATAAATTCCACGAAACCGTCCATGGTTACCATATGCACGTTTTTGCATATTCTAAATACGATTGGTATAAAGAAACCTTATCCAATGTCGTTGACTTAAATTGAAATAATGTTAACGGACGCGTAGATTTCATCTTCATTACGTCTTCATAAAAATCAGGATTTTTTTCACCTACCGTAGGTGGCTTTTTCTGGAGCATTTCTTCGATGGTAATGCATTTTATGTTACTACCAACTTGTGCCATTTTAGATTTCTTCCAATAGCATTCAGAAGAAGTTTTGGATGGTTCTTCGCTGCGTCGATGTAGCCATGTAATAAATGCCACTATATGTTTGCATCCACCTTAAAAATCAATTATTTAAAGTTTTATATTTTGAATGATTTTAAATGAGTTATTTTACCTTCCGAAGCAGGACAATCAGCACATTCACAACCTACTATCTTTTCATTTTCTTCATCGATGGTAGCGGTCAGTGCATACGCTTTTTTGTGGATTTTATGCTCAGGGGTAATGCGAGCTTTAACTATACAAATGCCTAGTTCTCGTTTTATTTGAACATAGCCTATTGCTTGATCGCCGTAATGAACTTTTTCCACTCTAACATAAAACATTTTTATAGAAATATATTATTAGAAAATGTAAAAACATTATTACATTTGGGTCTTTGCGTGACGAATTTCAGCGCTAATAAATTTTTTATTTGTGGAAAAATAATTTGCTAACATTTCTGCATCTACGACAGGAAGGTTTTCAGATGATCCTTTTTCAAAACCACTTTCCATATTTTTCGATGATTTTTGTTACAAACACGTTGTAATTAAAAATTTTAAATAACACCTACTTAAATGATAAATAAAGTATAACTGATGCTTGCACATCTCAGTTACAAATATATATCCGAGCATTACAAAAGTATTTTTTATAATACAATAAAAGTTCGAAGAACTGCCCTAATAAGTGGGGATTCTATCTTTTAAAACTACCTACGTAAAAATAACAACAATAGAGTATTTCTTCTTAGCTTTATGACCTGTTATAAAACATTTTTTCTAAATTAAAAAATATATTTATTTTTAGGAGTTTAAAACTAGTTGAAGTATTTCGACGAAAAATTAATGGGTATATACTCAGGTAGATGACAAACAATGTCTGGGTTTTTTAAAGAACGGCCTGAAGTTCGAAACAAAAATGCCGCTTGTAATAATAAAATTTTGCCAATACATGTCGAATTTTTTCATAAATAACTTTCAAGAACTAAACATGTACGTGTGTTTATTTAAATACCACCATCTAGCGGTCACGATTTTAATTATGAAAAAAATAGTAGATTATGTAATTAAAACGTTTGTAATTTAGTTGAACAGCAACGATCGATTTTTATACAACATAAATGAGTTTATATTGTCAACATTATGGCAAATTGAAAGATAAGTCGTTAAATTTTTATTTACTAATATTTTTCGCGGTTCCGTTCGACCTTGACTATAAGGTGGTCAAGCTATGAATTACGTTCTCTCCCGTTTTCGTCTAGCGCATAAGATTCGTAGCATTGTCTCTCTCCAGGAATTTTATTGATTTTTATATGCTCCAATCGTACGCTCAAATTTGAGTGACGCGCTACTGAATTCGCGGCCTGTAATTTCTAACTTTATTATTTTTTTTTGGAAAAACTAAGCCTCAGAATCAAAAATTAAAAAATATGGGGTCAATCAATTTTAAAAAACTTTCGAATGAGCCAATAAAAAAAAAAACTTAACGGCCCTATTNACCCGGTAAAGTTGTAATTTCGTTAATTGGTTCTAAAACAAAAGTGGCGCCTTTAAAAAGTGTTACTATCCCGCGGCTCGAGTTATGCGCGGCTGTTCTTCTGGTGCGGTTGACGAAACGCGTTCTAAGTGTTTTAGACTTCCAAGATGTTCCCGTCCATCTGTGGAGTGATTCGACGGTGGTCCTTTCATGGATATGCAGCCACCCAAGCAGATGGAAGGACTTCGTCCGTAATCGAATAATAGAAATCCAGGAATTACCCAAAGCTCAGTGGTCCTATGTTACGAGTCAAGACAACCCTGCTGACCTCGCTTCTAGAGGAGTTCCCGTACATCGACTGCAGTATGATTCGTTTTGGTGGTCAGGACCTTCGTGGTTGTCTCTACCTTCGTCCAACTGGCCTTCCGGTCGACCAGCAGCACCACCCGAGGCAAAACGAGAGCAACGTTCTAATCCAATTATTCATACAGCATCTGTCATGTATGGCTGGAACCTGAAACATCGATATTCAACGCTTAATAAGCTTCTTCGCGTCACAGCCTGGTGCTTTCGCATTTTCAACAGACTAAAATTTGATTCTGTTACAGAAGTTCTTTCACCAAAAGAAATTAACCATGCTCTTATGTTCTGGATACGAGAATGTCAAAAGTTTCATTTCGACGAAGAAGTCAGAACTCTGCAAGAAGGACGAGTGGTAAAGAATTCAAGTTCGTTGTACCGACTTACTCCATTCCTTGATGGTGAAGGATTTCTTAGAGTGACTGGTCGCCTTAGATTTGCTGCTCTGGATTGGGACGAGAAGCATCCGATTATATTGCCCAAAGAATCCAGATTAACAACATTAATCATAGACAGTCACCATCGGAGCATATTGCACGGAGGGACCCAGCTAACCTTGTCGTCAATACGACGTCGTTTTTGGATTGTCGGTGGTCGCGTTCCGATCAGATCCTTCATCCAAAAATGTATGATCTGTGCTAAACAACGGACGGAGGCGAGCCAGCAACTTATGGGACAGTTGCCCCCTTCACGTGTCACACCATCCAGACCATTCACCAACACCGGAGTCGACTACGCTGGACCTTTTCAGCTTCGAACCTTCCGAGGGCGAAGCGGTAAGACTTATAAAGGGTACTTAGTATTGTTTATCTGTTTAGCAACATCGGCCATTCACCTCGAAATAGCGACCGATTATTCAACATCGGGTTTCCTGGCAGCATATAGGCGATTCTCCGGTCGACGAGGTCTCTGTAAATATTTATACAGTGACTGCGGAACGAATCTGGTTGGCGCCGACCGCGAGCTTCGAACAATGTTTTCGGCTGCTTCAAAGGAGTGGAAACACATTGCTGGAATCTTGAGCGACGACGGGACACAATGGAGGTTTAATCCTCCAGCTGCACCACATTTTGGCGGAAAATGGGAGGCTGGAGTACGATCCGTCAAAACACACCTTAAAAAAATTGTCGGAGCTACCCTGCTTACCTACGAGGAGTTCTACACTGTATTAGTTCAAATTGAGGCTGTTTTGAACTCTAGACCTCTTTGTGCAATCTCCGAGGATCCTAGCAATTATGACGTTCTTACACCAGCTCATTTCTTGATTGGTTCGGCTCTTAATGTCTCTCTCGCTGGCAAGTTCTTCGACGAATGGTAGAGGATTTCTGGAGAAAATGGGAAAGATTCTACCTTCAATCAATCGAGAACTCGACTAAATGGTTTGATAAATGAAACCTACCAGAGATTGGAAGTCTGGTACTCGTCAAGGATGAGCGACTCCCTCCAGCTAAGTGAATGATGGCACGAGTTCTTCAGCTTCACTCCGGTTCCGATGGCAATGTTAGGATTGCCACAATAAATAGACGCCTACCACCACACTATTTCGTNAATTCTGAGTGACGCGCTACTGAATTCGCGGCCTGTAATTTCTAACTTTATTATTTTTTTTTGGAAAAACTAAGCCTCAGAATCAAAAATTAAAAAATATGGGGTCAATCAATTTTAAAAAACTTTCGAATGAGCCAATAAAAAAAATACTTAACGGCCCTATTACGACTTCACGCGTCGTCCGACAATTTCGAAAGGCCGCCATATTTACCATTTTTCAAACATTGGGATTTATTGAAAATTACCGAAAACATCGCTATCAGGTCAGATCTATCTTTGTTTATCGCCGAGAAAAAAAATCTGCAGACCGCGTTCGTCGACAAAAATTATCTTCCTTGGTTTTTCTTTATTATCGAACTTTAAATAGAACATTAAATTTCTTTTTTTTTTAAGAGAAAAACAATATTTTTACATTAGTTATTCAATATAAATTTCATTATTTATTTATTTTTTTTGTTGTTAAATCTTCGGTTACTCGAGTAAACCATCGATTAATTCATTTCAATTTTAGAATTTGTATACTTACTTTTTTTTTAATTTACAATTATTTATATTTTGAGTTTTACTCTATTATATATATTACTATTAATTTACGCTTTTTTTTCTTCCTACGTCACACCAATTGTAACAGTGTGGATCCTGTTGCAGTTGGATTTGTTAAGGGTTATTTGCAGATCCACTGGCGCCCTATTCTGTTATTAAATCCACCCCCTTCTCCTATGAGATTGGCCGGCACCTTACCATATCGTGGCGTTTTGTCGAATCGTTATACTTTTTTTTTGTTGATTGAACATTTAAGACTTTTCGAGTCATCAGTAGTTTCATTTTTAAAAACGCTACAATATTACAATAAAGCAAGTTAGAAGTTTTTATCTGTTTTTGAATTTTTTTATAATGGTCGGTGGTCTGTGACAATCGTAAATTTTTGACCATAAATGTAGGGTCGAAATTTTTTACATGCCCAAATAACTGCAAGTAATTCCTTTTCAATAGTAGAATAACGTTGTTCAGTTTCTGTCAAGGTTCTCGATATGTAACATACTGATAAGTCTTTTCGTATAGGGCCTTGTGATAGTATAGCTCCTATCGCTACATTACTAGCATCTGTCGTAACCAGAAATGGTTTCGAAAAATCTGGATACTTCAAGATTGGTTCGTTACATAAAATATTTTTACACGTTTCAAAGGCTTTTTTGTAGTCTTCAGTGGTGAATTGGATTGTTGCGCCCCTTTTAACACATGATGTC